ACTCCAAGAGTATGTCATTCAGTTTACTTTGTAAGTTCCTAACACACTTAACCTGTGGAGTAGCATACTGTCACCATATCGATTAACACACTGTCACCATGATGATGAACACACTGTATCCATCTGGAGTAACACACGGTAACTACGTGGAGTAACACACACTGTACCCATGAGGAATAACACACTGTACCCATGTGGAGTAACACACTGTACCCATGAGGAATAACACACTGTACCCATGTGGAGTAACACATTGTACCCCTGTGGAGTAACACACTGTACCCATGAGGAATAACACACTGTACCCATGTGGAGTAACACATTGTACCCCTGTGGAGTAACACACTGTACCCATGAGGAATAACACACTGTACCCATGTGGAGTAACACATTGTACCCCTGTGGAGTAACACACTGTGCCCATGAGGAATAACACACTGTACCCATGTGGAGTAACACGCTGTGCCCATGTGGAGTAACACACGGTAACTACGTGGAGTAACACGCTGTGCCCATGTGGAGTAACACACGGTAACTACGTGGAGTAACACGCTGTGCCCATGTGGAGTAACACACGGTAACTACGTGGAGTAACACACTGTGCCCATGAGGAATAACACACTGTACCCATGTGGAGTAACACACACTGTACCCATGTGGAGTAACACATTGTACCCCTGTGGAGTAACACACTGTGCCCATGAGGAATAACACACTGTACCCATGTGGAGTAACACACGGTAACTACGTGGAGTAACACACTGTGCCCATGAGGAATAACACACTGTACCCATGTGGAGTAACACACTGTACCCATGTGGAGTAACACACGGTAACTACGTGGAGTAACACACTGTGCCCATGAGGAATAACACACTGTACCCATGTGGAGTAACACACACTGTACCCATGTGGAGTAACACATTGTACCCCTGTGGAGTAACACACTGTGCCCATGAGGAATAACACACTGTACCCATGTGGAGTAACACACGGTAACTACGTGGAGTAACACACTGTACCCATGAGGAATAACACACTGTACCCATGTGGAGTAACACACGGTAACTACGTGGAGTAACACGCTGTTCCCATGTGGAGAAACACACGGTAACTACGTGGAGTAACACACTGTACCCATGTGGAGTAACACACACTGTACCCATGTGGAGTAACACACGGTAACTACGTGGAGTAACACACTGTGCCCATGTGGAGTAACACACGGTAACTACGTGGAGTAACACACTGTGCCCATGAGGAATAACACACTGTACCCATGTGGAGTAACACACGGTAACTACGTGGAGTAACACACTGTGCCCATGTGGAGTAACACATTGTACCCATGTGGAGTAACACATTGTACCCTTGTGGAGTAACTCATTGTACCCATGTGGAGTAACACATTGTACCCATATGGCGTAATACACTGTACCCATCTGGAGTAACAATAGGGTCAATTACCTGTGGTCTATTCAAGTGCTGGGTTGTTATAGATCACCCAGAAGCGGCGAGATTGTTGTCTAGTCGCTTTGCAGAGATGCGTCCCTTAGGTCTTCCGGAAACAATGACCATGTGTTCGAATTTCAGATGGTTCTAGGTTATCAGCTCCCACCCAAAGTGGGATAAACGTCAGTGACCACGCAGCATAAACCAAACTCATTCAATCAGTATCAGGAGGACGTCTGCATTTGTTGACGAGAATCGTGTGGACGACATTTCGCCTTCTTCTGTTTTAAAGCTAACGGTTTTTGCCTCGCTTGATTCAAATGTGAGAGTCAGTATGTACCCGTAGGATTGATCATACACAAACGTCAAACATAGGTGCGATATTTCTGTGAATGGATCACTTGGGAACGGTAATAGTGTGTGAAAGCAACGCTAGTAAGTGTATCCTGCTCTGTCGATAACACTCGATATTCACACCATTTCGGTGATTAAGTAAGTGTTTGTTTGTAATCTTGTCACATGATGGCGGTCTGTAGACGATCGAGTCTTGACCAATCAATCCCTTGACAGAGAGTCTTTACCAGACACTGAGTGGTGGACACACTGAATCAGGCAGTCCAGTGATAGACGCTCTTGTCAGACAATCCAGTGATTCTTTTAAGTTATTGATCGGCATTCTAGAAGTTGATGAGTAAAACATGAAGCGTAAAACTTCATGGATGACAACTTCTTGTTTTCTTCTTTAAGAGGCATTTTTGGACGTGTATAGGTGAAGGAAAACCAAGTTCTATGGATAGTCAACTGCTTTATTGCAATGAGTGCGACCTACAACGAAACGTCGTACTCATTGCATTGAAGAAGTTGACTATCCATAGAACTTGGTTTTCCTTTAACTTCCTGTTTATTGCATAGTCCAGTGATAGACGCTCTTCACCAGACAAACAGTGATAGACGCTCTTCACCAGACAAAACAGTGATAGACGCTCTTCATCAGACAAAACAGTGATAGACGCTCTTCACCAGACAAACAGTGATAGACGCTCTTCACCAGACAAAACAGTGATAGACGCTCTTCACCAGACAAACAGTGATAGACGCTCTTCACCAGACAAACGGTGATAGACGCTCTTCACCAGACAAAACAGTGATGGACGCTCTTCACCAGACAAACAGTGATAGACGCTCTTCACCAGACAAACAGTGATAGACGCTCTTCACCAGACAAAACAGTGATGGACTCTCTTCACCAGACAAAACAGTGATGGACGCTCTTCACCAGACAAAACAGTGATGGACGCTCTTCACCAGACAAACATTGATAGACGCTCTTCACCAGACAAAACAGTGATAGACGCTCTTCACCAGACAAACAGTGATAGACGCTCTTCACCAGACAAAACAGTGATAGACGCTCTTCACCAGACAAACAGTGATAGACGCTCTTCACCAGACAAACAGTGATAGACGCTTTTCACCAGACAAAACAGTGATAGACGCTCCTCACCAGACAAACAGTGATAGACGCTCTTCACCAGACAAAACAGTGATAGACGCTCTTCACCAGACAAACAGTGATAGACGCTCTTCACCAGACAAACAGTGATAGACGCTCTTCACCAGACAAAACAGTGATGGACGCTCTTCACCAGACAAAACAGTGATAGACGCTCCTCACCAGACAAACAGTGATAGACGCTCTTCACCAGACAAAACAGTGATAGACGCTCTTCACCAGACAAACAGTGATAGACGCTCTTCACCAGACAAACAGTGATAGACGCTCTTCACCAGACAAACAGTGATAGACGCTCTTCACCAGACAAACATTGATAGACGCTTTTCACCAGACAAAACGGTGATGGACGCTCTTCACCAGACAAACAGTGATAGACGCTCTTCACCAGACAAACAGTGATAGACGCTCTTCACCAGACAAAACAGTGATAGACGCTCTTCACCAGACAAACAGTGATAGACGCTCTTCACCAGACAAACAGTGATAGACGCTCTTCACCAGACAAAACAGTGATGGACGCTCTTCACCAGACAAACAGTGATAGACGCTCTTCACCAGACAAACAGTGATAGACGCTCTTCACCAGACAAACAGTGATAGACGCTCTTCACCAGACAAAACAGTGATGGACGCTCTTCACCAGACAAACAGTGATAGACGCTCTTCACCAGACAAACAGTGATAGACGCTTTTCACCAGACAAAACAGTGATGGACGCTTTTCACCAGACAAAACAGTGATGGACGCTCTTCACCAGACAATCCTGGTGACACGATAGCATACGTTTAATGACGTTACTGAAACGGGATGTTGTGTTAATTTGATTTAATTCCGTTGTACTCAAGTTTCGGATTCTGCTGCTTACAAACAGATGGATATACTCATAACATACCAGCATTTCTTCAACAAGGTAGGAGCCATTTAGAACGTTGTCAAATGTAAGATATGTTACAAGGTAGGAGGTATGAAGACACAATGCCATTCAGAAAGTTGTCAAATGTAACATATGTTACAAGGTAGGTGGTATGAAGACACAATGCCATTCAGAAAGTTGTCAAATGTAACATATGTTACAAAGTAGGAGGTATGAAGACACAATGCCATTCAGAAAGTTGTCAAATGTAACATATGTTACAAGGTAGGAGGTATGAAGACACAATGCCATTCAGAAACTTGTCAAATGTAACATATGTAACAAGGTAGGAGGTGTGAAGACACAATGCCTTTTAGAAAGTTGTCAAATGTAACATATGTTACAAAGTAGGAGGTATGAAGACACAATGCCATTCAGAAAGTTGTCAAATGTAACATATGTTACAAGGTAGGAGGTATGAAGACACAATGCCATTCAGAAAGTTGTCAAATGTAACATATGTTACAAGGTAGGAGGTATGAAGACACAATGCCTTTTAGAAAGTTGTCAAATGTAACATATGTTACAAGGTAGGAGGTTTGAAGACACAATGCCATTCAGAAACTTGTCAAATGTAACATATGTTACAAAGTAGGAGGTGTGAAGACACAATGCCATTCAGAAACTTGTCAAATGTAACATATGTTACAAGGTAGGTGGTATGAAGACACAATGCCATTCAGAAAGTTGTCAAATGTAACATATGTTACAAAGTAGGAGGTGTGAAGACACAATGCCTTTTAGAAAGTTGTCAAATGTAACATATGTTACAAAGTAGGAGGTATGAAGACACAATGCTATTCAGAAAGTTGTCAAATGTAACATATATTACAAAGTAGGAGGTGTGAAGACACAATGCCATTCAGAAAGTTGTCAAATGTAACATATGTTACAAAGTAGGAGGTATAAAGACACAATGCCTTTTATAAAGTTGTCAAATGTAACATATGTTACAAAGTAGGAGGTATGAAGACACAATGCCATTCAGAAACTTGTCAAATGTAACATATATTACAAAGTAGGAGGTGTGAAGACACAATGCCTTTTAGAAAGTTGTCAAATGTAACATATGTTACAAAGTAGGAGGTATGAAGACACAATGCCATTCAGAAAGTTGTCAAATGTAACATATGTTACAAGGTAGGAGGTATGAAGACACAATGCCATTCAGAAAGTTGTCAAATGTAACATATGTTACAAGGTAGGAGGTATGAAGACACAATGCTATTCAGAAAGTTGTCAAATGTAAGATATGTTACAAGGTAGGAGGTAGGTTTACTAAGTCGACTTTAGTTGTCTCACAGAATCATCGACCCAGTTCAAGCAAACTCTAAACATCACCGCCAGTGTCAGTCCCGTCTACCTGCCCAAACACATTCCGTTGGGCGCAGAACATGAGACACTGAAACTCAACCAGTGCCGTCTACCTGCCCAAACACACTCCATTGGGCGCAGAACATGAGACAGTGAAACTCAACCATCAATCATAAAACATCCCGTGAACACTTGGTATTCGATGTGTTTTGCTCTAACCTATAGATCGTAAATGTTCATGTCTGCGAGTCCTGAGGCCTGCTGCTCTCTGTCACTCTGTGTCTTGCAATCACCACAATGAGGGTGATAAGGCTGGCACATAGATACAGGCATCCTGCTGTGTAAAACGGCAGAACGTAGCTTCCGGTGACATCAAACAGCCAGCCTGGAAAACATACATTGAGGTAGGTAATGGTGTGGACACGATATATGTCATACTGCTGGGTAGCACCATGGTTGAAGTGTTCGACAGTCACGCTGGGGCCTGGTTTATTTCACACAAGGACACAGCGTGTGGAGCCCAAAGGATCGAGCACTATTTGCCTCGATCACACATAACCATGTTTGTAGAGTTGTTTTGTCTTTTTCTAACAAAATTGTACACCTACTACTTTGTTCAGGGTGGGCGTGTCTGCCACACGTGGCTACAGTGCTGAAGGTGACACGCCCTGGGTTTGTGAAATACAGCTCCAAGCGGCTGTGAAGGCAACACAATTACTCACGTCTTTACTTAGTTGTAAACTCCAAAACGAATACCAGGGATGGATACTGACATAGACTGTGTGTATTCATATCTATCAATCAGTCTAACATTCATAAACAAATCTGTTACACCTTTACAATTAGAACATGTATATATTATTTGCCTCGCATCTATAGTGGGTGTTTACCTAATACTGGCGGATTGTACAGTTACCTGCAAGGAGGGACGACAGGAACATCCCCGAACCGGTATGGAGAGAGTGGACACCAAATGCGACACTGGTGAGTTCGACGCCGACAATCTGAGACAGCACCACCCCTTGACCCATGTACCACGCACCTGCAGGGTCAAACACATGTAGTCAATACATGGAGATATTCCACAGAACAATGCATAACAGTACATTCTCTTCAAACCTACGGCGGTGGAACCATATAATCTAACAGTCATCCGTCCATCCACGAACCTACCCACCCAAATGACATGTAGAATAATATAGCATCCATACATTTTCTCACGCTATAGAAACATTTCAACACCTACCGTTAAACATTCCAAATATCCCAGCGAAAATAAAGAAGTGGACGGCCTTGCTGAGTGAGGGTACCACCATGATACTGGCGCCCAGAACAGCGATACACCCTGAGTGGAGACTTATCCTGCTGACTTTGGGCAAGTCGCTGATCCAGCCGAAGATGACGATAGAGACTAGGCTCGTTATCCCCATCACAGACATCAACAAAGTGCTCTGACTCTTTCCAGTACCCTTCAGCACGACCAGGTCTATGAGATGTACAATGGGCACGGTGTAACCGACGTGAAGCAAGAAGGATCCAAAAGCAAATAAGAAAAACAACTTCTTCTGCAACAGTTGCTTGAAGGAGTGAAGGACACCGCGTTTTGCCGTTCGTTCTGAAAACAAATTACTTGAATATGTAGTCTACATATAGTGTAATATACATTTACCAAAGCAATCGTCCTTTACGAAGGCTCTAGACTGGATCCATCTGTCCCTTACTTAACCTGTAGCCTTGTGTTGGGCAGATATGTTGTTTTGGCAATGTGTTGTTAAGCCTTTCATTCCTTTCTCACCAGCAAATATCCCGTCCTCTTCAAGAAGAACTTACTTTGGGAGGCCTTGCTGACATATGGTGGTGGTACAAACAGCAGACCAAAGACTGCTGCATTCAGAGTGATTCCTGCAGTCACCAGGAAGGCGCCCCGCCAGCTGTACGTCTCTATCAGCAGGTTGGTAAGGGGAGGTAACACTAGCATACCCACTCCTTCCCCAAGGGAGGATATACTCATGGATAGCCCCCGTCTCTTGTCGAAGTACTGAAGTACAATCACAGATGAGGACACGAACATCAGCGCCAGCCCTGTACCTGGAAATGGTAAGACACATGTTGCTGACTGAACAATGAAGTTGGAAAGATCTCTTGGGTTCTCTCCTAGATAAATGTAGAACCCATGACCAGTGATAGACGATACCAAATTATGTGACACCTGCTTTGAGAGTAAACCATTATTATATTTCCAAGAAACTATTTCCTCCACATCAATTAAAACTCACTGGAAGTATCAGAATACTGTTTGTTTGTGTACATATATGTTTAAATATTCCTGAAGTATTCAGCAGAGAGCGCAACAGAGACTGTGGAGCAGCATTCCCCGCCGTAGTTGACGTAGTTGACGTAGCTGACCCAGCAATATCACCAATCTGCACGATGATTTACATACCAACAAGAATACCGTAGGCGAAGCACAGGAGGTAGATGTTTGGGGAGAAGTAACAGCCGATGAACCCTGCACCTGCGAGGATGGATCCCGCTACAGTCGTGGTGCGGCTGCCATAACGCTGTATTGCCGCTCCTCCAAACAGGCCTGAAAGGATAATTGATCAATAGGGTCCACCTGAAGACTGGGCACCGCATGAGTCTCTTATGAACTCCAGTAAAATATAATCTCGAATGGGTTCGTATTACAACCACGATGTGCTGTGTTTACATTGGACACTGTGATGCAAATGATGGCAGTGTATATTCTTTGTTAGTCTTTCGAGGAGGCTTAAGGTGCTAGCAAACTTAGGGCCATCGTTGTCTTGAATGGACGATTCAAACCCTCAATCGCCGGCTCCTGGGCGACCACAGCTGTTGACCACAGATATGGCGTGACCTTGATTTGGTTTACTGACACTCACGGACATAATCTATATTTGCGTACCTCCAACACAATTCATTCCGCCGAATAACGAACTCATCCACGCTGTTTCAGCCCTGCTGGTATCAAAATAGTCAATTATTTCCACATACAAAATCCCAAAGCCGCTGGTAAAGCCCGCCGACAGGGCGACGATGAAGAAGCGACCCGCGACACACACCCATCCATGTCCTCCATCCGGGGCCTTCCGGGGTTCCATAGCCATTGCTTCCCTCTCGTCTCCAGCATTGTTGCTGTCGTCAGTCATCTACGTTGTGAAGACGACGCTGATGAAGGTGTCATACGAGATGACGAATTTCCAAAAACTCGCAACTACCAGTTACCGTGACACTGAAAGTAAAGCAAGAAGACGAATTCAGCCATGTTCCTCAATTTCTCAAAACGTTTATAGATCGCATGCTCCTTCTATAATTATAAGAAGCGTTCATCGTATGATTCAATACCAGTACTCACTCACTCACTCACTCACTCTAGGCAGACAGGTGTCCACATTGACACATGACTCACTCACTCTGAACAGGCAAGTGTCACACTGCCACAAGACTCACTCACTCTGTACAGGCAGGTGTCTACACGGACACATAACTCACTATACAGACAGGTGTTTACACTGACACAGGACCAACTCAATCTGTACAGACAGGTGTCCACACTGATACAAGACTCACTCACTCTGTACAGGCAGTTGTTTACACTGACACAGGACCAACTCACTCTGGACAGACAGGTGTCCAGATTGATACAAGACTCACTCGCTCTGGACAGACAGGTGTCAAACTGCCACGTGGCTCACTCACTCTGTACAGGCAGGTGTCTACACTGACACATGACTCACTATACAGACAGGTGTCTACACTGACACAGGACGCACTCGCTCTGGACAGCCAGGTGTTCACACTGACACAGGACTCACTCACTCTGGACAGACAGGTGTCTACAGTGACAGAGGACTCACTCACTCTGGACAGACAGGTGTCTACACTGACACAGGACTCACTCACTCTGGACAGACAGGTGTCTACAGTGACAGAGGACTCACTCACTCTGGACAGACAGGTGTGCACACTGACACAGGACTCACTTATTCTGGACAGACAGGTGTGCACACTGACACAGGACTCACTCATTCTGGACAGACAGGTGTGCACACTGAGACAGGACTCTCTCACTCTGGACAGACAGGTGTGCACACTGACACAGGATTCACTCATTCTGGACAGGCAGGTGTTTACACTAACACAGGACTCACTCACTCTTGACAGACGGGTGTCCACACTGACACAGGACTGACTCTGGACAGACAGGTGTCCACACTGACACAAGACTCACTCACTCTTGACAACCAAGTGTCAACACTGACACAGGACTCACTCTTGACAGACAGGTGTCTACACTGACACAGGACTCACTCTGGACAGACAGGTGTCCACACTGACACAGTATTCACTCACTCTGGAAAGGCAGGTGTTTACACTGACACAAGACTCACTCACTCTTGACAGCCAAGTGTCCACACTAACACAGGACTCACTCTGGACAGACAGGTGTCCACACTGACACAAGACTCACTCACTCTGGACAGACAGGTGTCTACACTGACACAGGACTCACTCTTGACAGACAGGTGTCTACACTGACACAGGACTCACTCGCTCTGGACAGACAGGTGTCTACACTGACACAGAACTCACTCTGGACAGACAGGTGTCTACACTGACACAGGACTCACTCGCTCTGGACAGACAGGTGTCTACACTGACACAGGACTCACTCGCTCTTTACAGGCAGGTGTCTACACTGACACAGGACTCACTCGCTCTGGACAGACAGGTGTCTACACTGACACAGGACTCACTCGCTCTGGACAGACAGGTGTCTAAACTGACACAGGACTCACTCTGGACAGACAGGTGTCTACACTGACACAGGACTCACTCTTGACAGACAGGTGTCTACACTGACACAGGACTCACTCGCTCTTTACAGGCAGGTGTCTACACTGACACAGGACTCACACGCTCTGGACAGACAGGTGTCTACACTGACACAGGACTCACTCGCTTTGGACAGACAGGTGTCTACACAGACACAGGACTCACTGCTCTTTACAGGCAGGTGTCTACACTGACACAGGACTCACTCGCTCTGGACAGACAGGTGTCTACACTGACACAGGACTCACTCGCACTGGACAGACAGGTGTCTACACTGACACAGGACTCACTCTGGACAGACAGGTGTCTACACTGACACAGGACTCACTCTGGACAGACAGGTGTCTACACTGACACAGGACTCACTCTGCTCTGGACAGACAGGTGTCTACACTGACACAGGACTCACTCGCTCTGGACAGACAGGTGTCTACACTGACACAGGACTCACTCTGGACAGACAGGTGTCTACACTGACACAGGACTCACTCGCTCTGGACAGACAGGTGTCTACACTGACACAGGAATCACTCACTATGGACAGACAGGTGTCTACACTGACACAGGAATCACTCACTCTGGACAGACAGGTGTCCACACTGACACAGGACTCACTCACTATGGACAGACAGGTGTCTACACTGACACAGGACTCACTCACTATGGACAGACAGGTGTCCACACTGACACAGGACTCACTCACTCTTGACAGGCGGGTGTCCACACTGACACAGGACTCACACGCTCTGGACAGGCAGGTGTCTACACTGACACAGGACTCACTCTGGACAGACAAGTGTCTACACTGACACAGGACTCACTTATCCTGGACAGACAGGTGTCTACACTGACACAGGACTCACTCTGGACAGACAGGTGTCTACACTGACACAGGACTCTCTCACTCTGAACAGACAGATGTCCACACTGACAAAGCACTCACTCTGTACAGACAGGTGTCTACACTGACACAGGACTCACTCTGGACAGACAGGTGTCTACACTGACACAGGACTCACTCTGGACAGACAGGTGTCTACACTGACACAGAACTCACTCTGGAAAGACAGGTGTCTACACTGACACAGGACTCACTCTGGACAGACAGGTGTCTACACTGACACAGGACTCACTCGCTCTGGACAGACAGGTGTCTACACTGACACAGAACTCACTCTGGACAGACAGGTGTCTACACTGACACAGGACTCACTCGCTCTGGACAGACAGGTGTCTACACTGACACAGGACTCACTCGCTCTTTACAGGCAGGTGTCTACACTGACACAGGACTCACTCGCTCTGGACAGACAGGTGTCTACACTGACACAGGACTCACTCGCTCTGGACAGACAGGTGTCTAAACTGACACAGGACTCACTCTGGACAGACAGGTGTCTACACTGACACAGGACTCACTCTTGACAGACAGGTGTCTACACTGACACAGGACTCACTCGCTCTTTACAGGCAGGTGTCTACACTGACACAGGACTCACACGCTCTGGACAGACAGGTGTCTACACTGACACAGGACTCACTCGCTCTGGACAGACAGGTGTCTACACAGACACAGGACTCACTCGCTCTTTACAGGCAGGTGTCTACACTGACACAGGACTCACTCGCTCTGGACAGACAGGTGTCTACACTGACACAGGACTCACTCGCACTGGACAGACAGGTGTCTACACTGACACAGGACTCACTCTGGACAGACAGGTGTCTACACTGACACAGGACTCACTCTGGACAGACAGGTGTCTACACTGACACAGGACTCACTCGCTCTGGACAGACAGGTGTCTACACTGACACAGGACTCACTCGCTCTGGACAGACAGGTGTCTACACTGACACAGGACTCACTCTGGGCAGAGAGGTGTCTACACTGACACAGGACTCACTCGCTCTGGACAGACAGGTGTCTACACTGACACAGGAATCACTCACTATGGACAGACAGGTGTCTACACTGACACAGGAATCACTCACTCTGGACAGACAGGTGTCCACACTGACACAGGACTCACTCACTATGGACAGACAGGTGTCTACACTGACACAGGACTCACTCACTATGGACAGACAGGTGTCCACACTGACACAGGACTCACTCACTCTTGACAGGCGGGTGTCCACACTGACACAGGACTCACACGCTCTGGACAGGCAGGTGTCTACACTGACACAGGACTCACTCTGGACAGACAAGTGTCTACACTGACACAGGACTCACTTATCCTGGATAGACAGGTGTCTACACTGACACAGGACTCACTCTGGACAGACAGGTGTCTACACTGACACAGGACTCTCTCACTCTGAACAGACAGATGTCCACACTGACAAAGCACTCACTCTGTACAGACAGGTGTCTACACTGACACAGGACTCACTCTGGACAGACAGGTGTCTACACTGACACAGGACTCACTCTGGACAGACAGGTGTCTACACTGACACAGAACTCACTCTGGAAAGACAGGTGTCTACACTGACACAGGACTCACTCTGGACAGACAGGTGTCTACACTGACACAGGACTCACTTATTCCGGACAGACAGGTGTCTACACTGACACAGGACTCACTCAGTACAGACAGGTGTGTACACTGACACAGGACTCACTCTGTACAGACAGGTGTCTACACTGACACAGGACTCACTCTGGACAGACAGGTTTCTACACTGACACAGGACTCACTCTGGACAGGCAGGTGTCTACACGGACACAGGACTCACTCTGGACAGACAGGTGTCTACACTGACACAGGACTCACTCTGGACAGACAGGTGTCTACACTGACACAGGACTCTCTCACTCTGATCAGACAGGTGTATACACTGACACAGGACTCACTCTGGACAGACAGGTGTCCACACTGACACAGGACTCACTTATTCTGGACAGACAGGTGTCTACACTGACACAGGACTCACTTATTCTTGACAGACAGGTGTCTACACTGACACAGCACTCACACTGGACAGACAGGTGTCTACACTGACACAGGACTCACTCTGGACAGACAGGTGTCTACACTGACACAGGACTCTCTCACTCTGAACAGACAGGTGTCCACACTGACACAGGACTCACTCTGGACAGACAGGTGTCTACACTGACACAGGACTCACTTATTCTGGACAGACAGGTGTCTACACTGACACAGCACACACTCTGGACAGACAGGTGTCTACACTGACAAATTACTCACTCTGGACAGACAGGTGTTTACACTGACACAGGACTCACTCTGGACAGACAGGTGTCTACACTGACACAGGACTCACTCTGGACAGGCAGGTGTCTACACTGACACAGGACTCACTTACTCTTGACAGGCAGGTGTCTACATTGACAGAAGACTCACTCAC